GCAGTCCCCATGAGTTTGCAGTAACAATCTCTGCCTATGATCATCATCAGTCACAATGCTCCACCTGTGGTTTGCAGAGTTCCCTTTAGTGTGTTATTGTGAAGGACAGAGGCATTTACAATCTAGAGTTTCAGACATTCAGCAAGAAAGCAACTAGGTGCAAATCGATGTGATTCTGTTGCTCTGATCACCACTTTTGGATGTCAGCTTTACCCATTTCCAGTGTGGAATAGTCTGTGAGTTTGCAATATCTCCTTCCCTATGCATAGTCTATTAAAGATCACATATCACAAGAGAGGTGGGGCTGAACATAGCCATTCAGCCCATCTTATCCTATCCTTCTGGAATGCAAACTCCTCTGCCTTCAGTTACTGAAGCTATTATTCTGGGTTTACTTTCTCTAGCAAATTAAGTGTAAGAGGGATTCGAAAATTCTAATTGCTGTGCACATACGTATCTTCTCACAGATTAGTGTTAAACCAATGAATTTCAGCAGTGGTAATGGTGAGGACAAACACATAGAGACATTGCTCTTACAAGGCAATCCCTGTTTGGTGCCATCATCTAGCTGCATTTTAGTGACTGAGACAGTCACTAGCAATGTGATTGCAATAACTGTCCTGTCAGTGTGAGGTCCATTTGTCAGACAGCAACATTTGTGAAGCCCAGTGCACTCAACCACTCACCATTCCTACCTCCACAGCCCCCCTTCTCCAATAGTATCCCATTATTAAGGTTCATTCACAGTTGCACAGACTCTGGATGTGTCGGAGGTGACACAGTTCTCAATAATAATAATAATTTTTGCATTTGATATAGGGCTTCCACTTCATCTCTACAAATGGCTTCTCCTCCAGCCCCCACACCATCTTGTGCGGCGTTCCTCGGGGCTCTATCCTTGGTTCCTTCCTCTTCAATATCTGTATGCCCCCTCTTGGTAACATCATCCGCAGACATGGAGTCAACTTCCACATGTATGCGGATGACACCCAACTCTATCTCTCTGCCTCTACCCTTGATTCCAGGTCCACTGCTGTCCTGACACAATGTCTGCCTCCTCACCTCATGCTCTGACAGCATCACCATCCATGGTTGCACACTCCACCATTGCTAAGCCAGTCCGGAACCTTGGGGTCTTATTTGACCCTCAACTATCCCTCTACCCCACATCTGCGCCATGACCTGCTCTGCCTTCCCCCACCTCCGCAACATCGCCCGACTCCACCACTGTCTCACACCGCAGGCCGCCGAGACCCTCATACATGCTTTCATTACATCAAGGCTCGACTATGCCAACTCATTGCTTGTCGGCCTCCCCAACTCATTCAGAACTCTGCAGCCCATGTCCTCTCCCACACCAGGCTCCGTGACCCTATCACCCCCATCCTCACCCGACTCCATTGGCTTCCCATCACACAGAGGATACAGTTCAAGATCCTGGTCTTCACCTTCAAAGCCCTCCATACCACTCCCCTGCAATTCTTTCAGACTGAATATCAGTGATTCATTTGAGCTGTGGCTAAACCTGATCATTTATAATGATCCAAATGGTGCAGCATGTATTCGTGATCCCACCATTCTAAATGGTATCTACCAGACAGATTACATTTAGAAATTCCTGGATTATTCATTTAGAATTACCCCCAATATGCAGTAAAATACTCCCTGCCCCCTAATTCAACAACTCGGAGTGAAGCCATGATCCCACTAACCAACAGCTGAAAGTCACACGGTAGTTATTGACTGCTTCATGAATGTTGGCATTGGAGTCCTGTAGCGTATTGATTAGAGCAGTCACCTTCGAAACGAGAAGACTCAGGGTGATTTTGCGGGGCAAAACCTTAGGCAAATTTCCTTACTCCACTGTATTATACATGTCCTGACTCCTGCAAAAATATGAAGAGTTTGTTCCTTGAATGAGATAGCGTAACAGCAGGTGGCACCATAACCACATACAGAAACTGGAATCAAATCACCTTTTTGAAAGGTTTACCCTTTGTATTGAGAATAGAAGCAAAAGGTATTACAAACTCTATTACCAAATTAGAACTATTAGGGACATGAGGGAATTAATAAATTAAGTCAGGCTCAGCCACTGTCAAGCGCTCTGGGAAGCTACCTTGCATGAGGGCGCTATATAATTGTAAGTTGTTGTGGTTGACATGAAGTAGACTCGTGTTTGCTAAGCAGATTGAGTGGCTATATCGGTTTCAAGCTTCTGACTCGGAGGCAAGAGTATTACTAATTGAGTCAGGCTGACACTGAAGCAGGACAAAATGTTTGACTGAATTCAATAGAGCTCATATCATACATGTTTTCATTAGAACCAGGCTTGACTATGCCAACGCCCTGCTTGTCGGCCTTCCCAACTCTTCCTTCCACAAGCTGCAGATCATCCAGAACTCTGCAGCTCGTGTCCTCTCCCGCACCAGGCTCCATGATCCCATCACTCCCACTCTAGTCCGGCTCCACTGGCTCCCCATCCCTCAGAGGATCGAGTTCAAAATTATCGTCCTCACTTTCAAGGCCTCCATGGCCTTGCCCCCTCCTACCTCTCTGACCTCCTAACCCCTTAGCAACCTGTCCGCTCCCTCCATTAAGCAGGGTCTGGCCTACTCCATGTTCCACACCCGGCTCACTGCACCAACGGCAGTCGGGCCTTCAGCCTCTCTGTCTCCACCCTCTGGAGCTCCATCCTACATTCCCTTCTCCTCGAAACCCTCCTCTACGATTGTGCCTTCAGCCACCCTCCTACCCTCTCTAACCTCCACCCTCCCTGATCCCACCCACCGGTCCTAATCCCTGACTGCACAGCGCCTTGGGACGTCCTCCCAACTTGAAAGATGCTTTACAAATGTAATTTTCTAGAAGAGAGTTCTCGATGGGATTCAAAGCTTTTCCCAGCCTCTGTGAATTTTTTTTTGTGTTTTTTCCCCGTGTATTTACACAGGTCATATGGTATACAAGTAAATAAACATAATCCTTGGGTAAATCAGCCAGCAATCTCTGTTCATTGACCCTTGTATTTAGCAATGTTAGCCAGGAAATGTTCCCCACCCCCACCTAAAGCAGTTAAATCCACTACTGACATTCACTGTTTAAGCTCCCACATGATTAATGATCATGTGGATGAGGGACTGACTGACTGCTGAACTGTACCCCAAGTAGAAGCCAAATGACTTGAGAAGGAGAGAAAAAATTGACAGAGGAAAAACAACTGCCAGCTCAGACTGTGTCCTAAGAGGACTTTCTATTTATACAAGGAATGTGCTGTGTTGACAGGAAGCAAGTGAGTCCAACTAGCCAATTTCATTTAGTTATGCAATCAAAACATGTTGACTGGAAGCAAAACACCACATCATTTTTTACCTTCAACAAAATGCACTGTTAAAATTTAAAATGATGCATGCTTGTTATTGGACTGTCTGAGAACGGGAGCCTCTGGGGCTGTGGAAACCTTGCCGATTACGGTCAAGCAGTTTCTAAAGCACCAGTGAGGACCTTATGCATAGGCTGCAGTTTTTATGGATTAACTGCAGCGTTGTCTTGTATTGCCAGCAGCAAACACTCAAGATTCATTTTCACAAGCAATATCAAGACTCCACCAGTTACAATATAGAGCTGCTGCTTAAAATCACAACTACTGTTAACAGCAGCACTATATAATGGGACACAAAGCTCACATTCAGAAAGTTTAATTATCATTTTGTGTCTCACTTGTGGATGGTCAACTTCTTGTTCTCTCAGCAAGTTATAACAGTGTTAAGAAACTCAATGTTAGGGAATCATTTGATAAGATAATGCACTTCGGTTTCAAATATTTCTTAACACAGAGGACAATCAACAAAAGGATTTGGTTTCTAGGCTAGCTCTGTGGCAGAGGTCCACACTGGACTACTTTAAGAATTAAAGTATTCTACAATGGGATACTGGGCTGATTGGTATTCTGAAAGGATGAAATCAAATGGGCTTCTTCATTCAAACCTCTGTGTGATCTTGTGATTACGATACTCCCTACAGGAGTAGCAATTATGTATCATGTAATATGTAATTTCCATACTCTTCTGAAGCCATTATGTAATAGAAACAATTATCCCAGATTTAACCGGAGACATGCTGGGTCTATAACATGGGAGTTGTTCTTATAATAACTCCTGCCGTGCATTACTGTGTTTAAAATAATCTCTATATTAGTAAGACACATAGAAAGTGTCCTGTAGCTCCATGGTTAGAGCACTCGCTTTGCAAGTGAGAGACCCGAGTTCAATTCCAGACAGAGGGCGAAACCTTGGGCAAGTTTCCTTACTCCACACGCCTAATAATAATCCCTCCAAAACCAAAAACAATAATAAATTATAAATTGGTAATTTCAATCTACAGCTGTTTGTGGGACATTGCTGTGCGCAATTGGCTGCCGCATTCGCCCACAAATATGCAGTCAATTCACTTTACAGTGTGTTCTGTGAAGCGCTTTGGGACGTCCTCCCGACGTGAAAAGCGCTATATTTGCCCTTTGTAAGTGCACATTGCCAGACATTATGCTTTTTGGTTAGAAATATGTAAATGATGTGCCTTACATCATCACTGCCTAATGTAGCAATTTTTTATTTATAAGCAAACACAGCAGCCATTTTGCACACAAAGGGCCCACAAATAGCATTGAAGTAAACAATCAATTTGTCTGGAGAATTGTTGACTAGGACATAAGGAAAAACTTGGTTATTTATTTATAAGATTATGCACATTATGCAAATAAAAATCCAAATATTAATCCATTCTTGAATCCCTCTGACTCGCCCGCTCCCTCTCTACCCTTTCAAGGCCTGTCTCAAAACATACTTCTTTAACTGCATTATCTTTCTGCCCCCACTGAGCTCCCACCCCCAACTGGGCCAGACAGCAATGTAAAACATTCTGAACCGCCAGTCCATCCTGAGCCAACACGTAAGGTTCTACATAAATATAAATTGTATGGTATAAGAATAAAATCAACAAAGTAAAACTGAACATAATTCGAAGCTTTATTTAAATCTTGTTCATGTGCACATCATTTTTAAAGCAGAAAAAAAACAGGTATTTTGTAAGACATTATATGTAGTTAGGAAAAGATAACCAACCATAGTATCAGGGCCTGTAGGTGAGAATCTTCGGAGAGATGGGGGCTTCAAAGAACCAATATATTTTAATGTGTTTAAGGGGTCAGAAGCTTGAGTGCCCAACAGTCTCCCTTCCACTCCCCAGTAGTTTGGCCAATGCTGGAGTAATTTTTTTTTAAAAAACAAAACTTTTTTTTACATTTATCCTTACTTTGTGGACCCTGAAACACCTACAGTGCAACTTGGTGATCCACTTCCTGGAGATTGCTTAAGTGACATTAGCCACTTTTCCTCCAACTGGGGAAACCTTTCAGAACTGGATCTTGAACAACAGTAACCTTAAAGAGAATGCCAGGACAAGGGCAAAAGTAGACTTTCTACAGGACATCATTTTGCAAATGTCCATGCAAATGTCCACAGTTGGCAACAGAATAGCTTCATTGGCCCAGTCTCATTTATTCGCTGGATTAATGCTTGAAGAAGCAATGCTTTTATTGTGTGTTTAAGGAGAAAATAAACCTTTCATTAGTTCTAGTGGGTAGCTTTTATGCTCCAGATGACATTTAGTCTTGTTATGTAAGTGTAGCAATGACATAAAGCCACAATCGTGTAAGAGTTAGCATTAGTATAATTGCAGCAGGTTTGTCAGCAATTCAGACAATCGTCTGTCTAAATTCCCTTCAGCACAGGAATTCAGGTAGTCACTTCCTGGCACTGTGATTTCAGGAGCTGGGTTACTTGTAGCCAAGGGATGGTTCGAATTGTAAACCTGCAACGTTCTTTCTGGAAAAAAGCAGAAAAACTGGTGTAAAATAATACGTCTCACTCTTACTTTTACTGTTCATACTGTTCAATACACAATACAAATTGACATTTATAATAGCACCTTTCACAGCAGGAGGTCATCACAAAGGCTTAACAATATTGGCTTGGCACCAGAATTGGGGGGGATGCCAAGGGGCTGGTAAGAGGAAAGATGAAAGAACGTATGATCAAAGCGGTAGGTCTTGAGGCGAACCTTGAATGGATTGAGCGAATAGGAGGGTCTCCAGAATAGAGTTCCAGTGAGTGGGTCAGATAAGCTGAACGCCTGATAGCTGACTGTGGGGTAGGGGACATGAAGCATGTTGGATTGCAGCTTGTGTAGGGAAGAGCTAGGGAGCAGAGCATTGCCATAGTCAAGCCTGGATGCAATAATAATATAATAATAATAATCCTTGCATTTGATATAGCGCTTTTCACGTCGGGAGGACGTCCCAAAGCGCTTCACAGAACACACTGTAAAGTGAATTGACTGTATATTTGTGGGCGAACGCGGCAGCCAATTGCACACAGCAATGTCCCACAAACAGTCGTAGATTGAAAATGACCAATTTATTATTGTTTTTGGTTTTGGAGGGATTATTATTAGGCTCTGTGTGGAGTAAGGAAACTTGCCCAAGGTTTCGCCCTCTGCCTGAAATTGAACTCAGGTCTCTCGCTTGCAAAGCGAGTGCTCTAACCACTGAGCTACAGGACTCCAATAAATGTAGATGAGTTTCTCTATATCCTGAGGGAGATAGTGGTGGAGGTGGGCGATGGGGGAAAAGCTGAGCGGGTAAGATTAAAATCAAAGATAGTGGCAATCAATGGCAGACAGACGCTGGTGGGAGAAAGCACTGTTTGGGAGGTGATATACTGAGGTGCTCAACAGTAAACAATCACAAATTCTGTTCTTGTAATAATCAACACCAGCATTCGATCACAGGGCAATAATGAGTAGTTTATAAACTCACAAACATCATTTCTTTTCATCTAGAAATAAAGACAGCAGTTTTAAGGTAATGCTTCCATATACATCTGCACATTTTTCTGTCACAAGTCAAAGCCATTTACTGTCCCTGGATGGTAAACTGACCGGACAATGGAATAGTGGACTTTTACATTGAATACCCAACACCACCACTTTAAAATGTAAAATGATCGGTATGCTCATTGATAGCTTCCATCAGGTTGATGAACTCACAAACATCATCCCTTTTCATCCAGAAATAAAGACTGCAGTTTTTATTTCTAAATGAAATTTCTCCCTCATTGTCCAATTCCATTATTTAAAATACATTTTACATTAAAGTACTCCCGTATAAGCACAACATTAACAAAGAAAATGCAAGCCTGCATTGTAACAACATTTTTAATGCTAGGAAGTACTTGACGTACTTACTTGCTCTTTAAAAAGATCTCTAGAATGCAAAATGGTTATACCAAAATGAAAGCATCAGGAAGATAATGGTTCCCTAATGCTTCAGTGAGCAAAGATATCCCACTAATTTCAGCCAGTGCTACAGTTGACCTTATAATATCAAAAAATACTGATGGTTTCCCACTCCTAATCGCTATTCAACACCTTTTGTTGGAAAGTTATCTTGAATGGATACCAAGAAAGAACAGCATCATGCTCAGCTGGTTTGCCCTCTAAGGTTAAAAAGCCTGCTGGTACCCAGAGTCCAGCTAACATACAAATCATGGGTGTTCGGGTGAGGTATAGAAAGGCTACATTGCCTATGGAACAACAGCCTATGCAAAAGGATTAAATTAGAAACAGAAAATATGAGCTTCATAGAAAACTTCTCTACAACTTTTAAATGGTGCCAGTGAACATCTTGTGGTTTATTTCTGTGCCTGTCAAATCATGAAAAGGCTTTTATGCAAGGACAGCAGTTCAGCGACTGTTACACGTCCTAGTAAATGCATGATATTCTTTTGGAGGGGAAGAAAGGGGAGAAACAATAGCAATAGCAAGACTCTCCTTCTTCCATCCTTTATTTTCCTCCTTATATCCAACGAGGAGGATGTGGATGTCATTTTTCATGCTAAAGTGGATGTATGTTAAGAAAATAGCCCAGCAATAAATCTACTCAAGAGTGGAATTAGGCCATCAAAATACACAGAATCAAGACATCTGGTTAGGATCAAATTAGAACAAAGTAGGCTAACAGAAAAGACAAAAACAAGATTGCAAAACACTTACGCGAGCCAAGCCAGAAGCAGTGTGAAAACTGCAGAGTTCCAGTGAGTCGACAACTGCACGTCTGCACTGTGTCCTCCCCAACTCAACATCCAGAAAGTACAATATCCCGCTCACCAGCTGACGGAAAGAAAACGTAACTCTTTAAACGAACCTGCTATATATCCAAACAAACACTAAGTTCAATACAATACAGTACAATTTTCATTTATGCAGCACCTTTCGCATCAGGAGAATGTCTCAAAAGTGCTTGCAAAGCTTTCAACACCACCTTAACAAACCACATGAATATTCCCCTTCTTAGGCAAAAAAAGCAGAAGCAACAACTTTCAGTGATAGAGCAGCTTTCATGTAGGGCAGCATCTCGTGAAAGGCGCTATACAAGTGTAATCTTGTTGTTGTTGTTGTTGTGCTGCAAAGTGGTGGGGGTTTTATGTTGACCAAGGGAGAAGGAGGACGACGGAGGTGATCATGTTGAAGAGATAGGTTTTCAAGTCGGTACTTAAAGACAGATAAAGAGATACATCTCACTTACACTCTCTCTCTCTCCCACTCTCTCTCCCACTCGCTCTCACACTCCATCTCTCACACTCCATCTCCCTCTCCCTCTCTCACACTCTCTCTCATACTCCCTCTCCCTCTCTCACACTCTCTCTCATACTCCCTCTCCATCACTCATTCACATTCTGTTTTCTGTTTCGGTTCTCTTTCTCTCTCCTCCTTTGACTTTCTTCCCCCCTTCTCACTCAATCTCACACATTCTCTCTCTCTCTCTGTCTCTCAGATACTTTCTCAACCTCTCTCTCTCTCAGATATTTTCTCACCTTCACCCTCTCTCTCAGACACTTTCTCACCCTCTCTCTCTCGCTCTGATACTTTCTCACCCTCACTCTCTCTCTCTCTCAGACACTTTCTCACCCTCTCGCTCTCTCAGATACTTTCTCACCTTCACCCTCTCTCTCAGACACTTTCTCACCCTCTCTCTCTCGCTCTGATACTTTCTCACCCTCTCTCTCTCTCAGATATTTTCTCACCTTCACCCTCTCTCTCAGACACTTTCTCACCCTCTCTCTCGCTCTGATACTTTCTCACCCTCTCTCTCTCTCTCTCTCAGACACTTTCTCACCCTCTCTCAGACACTTTCTCACCCTCTCTCTCTCTCAGACACTTTCTCACCCTCTCTTTCTCTGACACTTTCTCACCCTCTCTCAGACACTTTCTCACCCTCTCTCAGACACTTTCTCACCCTCTCTCTCTCTCTCAGACACTTTCTCACCCTCTCTCTCTCTCTCAGACACTTTCTCACCCTCTCTCAGACACTTTCTCACCCTCTCTCTCTCTCAGACACTTTCTCACCCTCTCTCTCTCTCAGACACTTTCTCACCCTCTCTCAGACACTTTCTCACCCCTCTCTCAGACACTTCTCACCCTCTCTCAGACACTTTCTCACCCTCTCTCTCTCTCTCAGACACTTTCTCACCCTCTCTCAGACACTTTCTCACCCTCTCTCTCTCTCTCAGACACTTTCTCACCCTCTCTCTCTCTCTCAGACACTTTCTCACCCTCTCTGACACTTTCTCACCCCCTCTCTCACCCTCTCTCAGACACTTTCTCACCCTCTCTCTCTCTCTCTCTCAGACACTTTCTCACCTTCTCTCAGACACTTTCTCACCCTCTCTCTCACCCTCTCTCTCACCCTCTCTCTCACCCTCTCTCTCACCCTCTCTCACCCTCTCTCTCACCCTCTCTCACCCTCTCTCTCACCCTCTCTCTCACCCTCTCTCTCGGTTACCTGGATTTTGGCAGACACGATCCTGGAGATTTTGCTGACATACAGATCGTTGGAGGCCTTGTTGTACTCGGACAGGGCGAACTGCGCGGCGTCTTGGATCACCTGGTCATCCACCGGAGCCTCCTCTATGCCGCCCAGCAAACTGCCCGAGGCCGCCGAGACCCCGATCAAAACAGCCAACAGCAGCAGCTTCTCCATCACAGCAGCCATGTTTACACTGCCAGCTCTGACCCCGCCCCCAGCGTCACCAGCCCCCAGCCCCGCTCCCAGCCTCACCCCCAGCCTCACCAGCCCCGCCCCCAGCCTCACCAGCCCCGCCCCCAGCCCCGCCCCCAGCCTCACCAGCCCCGCCCCCAGCCTCACCAGCCCCGCCCCCAGCCCCGCCCCCAGCGTCACCAGCCCCCAGCCCCGCCCCCAGCCTCACCAGCCCCGCCCCCAGCCTCACCAGCCCCGCCCCCAGCCTCACCAGCCCCGCCCCCAGCCCCGCCCCCAGCCTCACCAGCCCCGCCCCCAGCCTCACCAGCCCCGCCCCCAGCCCCGCCCCCAGCCTCACCAGCCCCGCCCCCAGCCTCACCCCCAGCCTCACCAGACCCCCAGCCCCGCCCCCAACCTCACCAGACCCCCCAGCCCCGCCCCCAGCCTCACCAGACCCCCCAGCCCCGCCCCCAGCCTCGCCAGCCCCGCCCCCAGCCTCACCAGCCCCGCCCCCAGCCTCACCAGCCCCGCCCCCAGCCTCACCAGCCCCGCCCCCAGCCTCACCCCCAGCCTCACCAGCCCCGCCCCCAGCCTCACCAGCCCCCCAGCCCCGCCCCCAACCTCACCAGACCCCCCCAGCCCCGCCCCCAGCCTCGCCAGCCCCGCCCCCAGCCTCACCAGACCCCCAGCCCCGCCCCCAACCTCACCAGACCCCCAGCCCCGCCCCCAACCTCACCAGACCCCCCAGCCCCGCCCCCAGCCTCGCCAGCCCCGCCCCCAGCCTCACCAGCCCCGCCCCCAGCCTCACCAGCCCCGCCCCCAGCCTCACCCCCAGCCTCACCAGCCCCGCCCCCAGCCTCACCCCCAGCCTCACCAGCCCCCGCCCCCAGCCTCACCAGACCCCCAGCCCCGCCTCCAGCCTCACCAGCCCCGCCCCCAGCCTCACCAGACCCCCAGCCCCACCCTCAGCCTCACCAGCCCCGCCCTCAGCCTCACCAGCCCCGCCCTCAGCCTCACCAGCCCCGCCCCCAGCCCCGCCCCCAGCCTCACCACTTCCCTCTGCTCCAGCCTGGGCATCCTCCGCCGGGCCCACCGTGGCTCCCGGCACTCGCTGTCCCAGACCAGCAACCCCACATGTCCCATCATTCATTCACTCCCTCCGCTCAAACCGCCTCCTTAAGGCAAACCCAACTTCCCCCTTCCTCATACGTACCCTCCCCAACTCTCCACTCGCACCACTCTCCACAACCTGTACACCCGAAATTCCTCTCTGCATCACTCTCTCCTCCCTCCAGCAAACCCATCCGCATTTCCCTCCAAAATGTCTGTACCCTCTCAAATAAAGCCCTCACCATCCACGACCTCATCCTGGATGAGCACCTTCACATTCTTGGGCTCACAGAAACCTGGCTCTCCCCCAATGACCCCGTCCCCTTAGTGGAAGCCTCCCCTCCAGGCTACTCCTTCCACCACACCCACACCCCTGTCCAAACCATCTCCAAAGCCTCCCTTGGTCTTTCCCCCTACTCCTCTGGTTGCTTCCCCTCCTTTGAGCACCTCACCCTCTTCCACCCCTCTCTCCCACTGAAAATCCTTTTGGTCTACCTCCCCCTAAGCCCCCCTGCTCCTTCCTTTCTGACATCTCTACTTTCCTCTCTTCCCTGTCCCTTTGCTCCAAATACCTACTCATAATGGACCATTTCAACCTCCACCTAAACTCTCCTTGCACTACTCCTTCTGACTTCACTAGCCTCCTCTCCCTAAACCTCACCTTTCACATAAATTCACCAACCCACAACCGTGGCCATGACCTCAACCTCATCATCAACCATGGCCTTTCTGACCCAGCATAGTGGACAAGGCCCTCTCGGACCACTTCTTCATCTCCTTTTCCTCTCACATCCCTCTCTCCTCCACCAAGCCCTCAACCATACTCTACCGCCCATGGAAACGTCCCTCACATCCTCCAATATCCTATCCCTTTGGCCTTCCACCCGCAGAGATCCTGAAGCAGCTGTCCAGCTGCTCCATGATCGCCTCTCTTCCACCTTCAACTCCCTCGTCCCCCTGAAATCCAGGACCATCTCCAAACCCACCCGATCCCCCGGTACAACAACCATCTCCACTGCCTAAAAACCCAAACCTGGCTGCTCGAGCGCAGATGGCAGAAAACTGGCCTGACAGTCCACCGCCAACTGTGACTCGAGCAACTCCACAGCTACCGCTGTTCTTTGATACGTGCAAAAACGGCCTTCTACTCCAACATCATCTTGGAGGCAAAAAACAATTCCAAAGTCCTTTTTTCGAACACCCTCTGTGCCCCCTCTCAGGCCTCCTCAATCTTCACATCTAATGCCAAGAGCGAGGAGGTCATGGACTTCTTTTCAACCAAAACACGTAATATCTGCCAGGCAGCCTCATCCTCCTGTCTCTTGTCACCCACCACCACGCCCTCTCCATCCCCCTCACCCTCCCCATCATCAGCTCCTACCACAACCCCCATCCTACATTCCTTCTGCCCCATCTCTCCGTCCTCCCACCACCTGCTGCCTTGACCCCCTCCCCACCAACTTGTTGGTCACCCAGCTCCCCCTCCTCTGCCCACTACTGGCTGATGTCATCAACCAGTCCCTTTCCTCTGGATCAGTCCCTGCCCCCTCAAAACTGCTGTCATCACCCCCTCTTCAAAATCCTTCCCTAGATTCCTCAAACCCCAGCCATTACCGCCCTATTTCAAATTTGCCCTTCCTCGCCAAAGTCCTAGAACGCATTGTTGCCAATCAACTCCTCGCACACCTCTCCTCCCACTCCCTCTTCGAACCCCTCCAGTCCGGTTTCCGCCCTGCCCACAGTAAAAGTCACAAACGACATCCTCTCTATCTGTGACCAGGGCTCCCTCTGCCGCCTTGTCCTCCTGGACCTCTCCGCTGCGTTCGACACAGGCAATCACGACATCCTCCTTCGCCTTTCCTCTGTCATCCATCTCAGTGGGACTGCACTCGCTTGGTTCGAGTCTTAACTCATAAACCGCCAGCAGATAAACCTCCGTTCCACCCTCGGCAGCCATGCCTTCAGCCACTATGCCCCGAAGCTCTGGAACTCCCTTCCTCACTCCCATCGCCTCGTCCCCTCTCTTCCCATTTTCAGTCTCTGCTGAAGATCTTTCTTTTCGACCGTGCCTTTGGTCACCTTCCCCCCCCGGCTCGGCCCCGGGATCCGTTACTGTAAAGCGCTCTGAGACGCCGTCCGGCATGGAGGGCGCTATATAAATCCAAGTTGTTGTTGTTGACCCCAGCCCCGCCCCTAGCGTCACTAACGTCACCAGCCCCGCGCCCCCACCCACTACCCTCCACTGACACAGTTCCAAATGTCTCCAGTGCCCACTTCAGGTCCCTAGTTTGTCACTTGCCAACCTGTGCCTAATACTCTCCGAATTTAGGTAACCAGGTGCATCTGTCCGCAGACACACAGGGAGGTCTCCATGCAGAACTCTCAGTCTGGCTTGCAATGCTTTTAAGTGTGATGATAGTTTCTGCTTGTGTCAGATACTTGTCCTACACCCCCCACCCAAAGGTTCAGTGGTGGGTGTGATGGACAATATTATATAGGGTACCAGTGTAAGTGGAGTCATTCTGTAAACCACCCTTCTCCCATATAAAGTGCAGGAAGAACAGAGAACAAATAAGGAAATGGCATCAAGTGATGCGTCACACCCTGGTGAGCAAGATGTTTGTGGGTAGGTATTGCACAATTTCAATGAGTTTTCCACCATTAATGAAGGATTGCCCTGAAAAATCTAATGCACAAATGGTTCTTATCAAACAAGCAATAAGTGATTACTCAATGATGTGGACTGTGCTGCAAGAGGTACTGGCTCAGATGTGTTTTCTATATAAAAAANTTAAGTGCATTCTTCTGCTGATAAAATTAGCTTAAATGCTTTCATAAATCATTCTAGACCCTGATTTGTCCAATCTGCTGCCTTGTTTTTTGATGCAGGAGAGGAGTGTTGTCCCGAGTGTTGATTTTTTGTGACAATGAAGAAATTGGATTTACGAATGCTTTCATCTGTGGGTGAACAGACAGATGTTATTTCTCCGATACTTAATCATCACAGTGAAACGCCTTTGGTGGAGAAGCTAGGACAAGTTTTGTCAAATCTTAGTAACCATCAGCATCAATCTCACCACAGGATCACAAGATTAATTCAAGTGAAGAAGGCCCTTCAGCCCATGTGATCTCATCCTTCCAGAGCATTCACCCCATCTCCTGCCCATCACAGCATCAAGGTGTTTTTAAGTCAGTCCAGTGTTCTGGCCTCGAGCTGTTCCAGTCATGAATTGCTCTCTGAGTAAAGAAATACTTCCCGGAGTCTGTTCTGAAATTGCCCTTTGCAACTCTAAATCTGTGTCTTCTTCTGCTGTCTCGGTGCATTCGAAAGCAGTGTTCTGGGCACAATTTCTCAATTCTATTTAAAATCTTGTATACTTCTATAAGACCACATTTAAGACTGCTTTCAAGACTGAAGAACTGTAGCTTATCTAATCATTTTTCATAGCTCTCCTCTGCACCCCCTCAAAGACCCCCTTATGTTATAGTGACCAGAACTGTATGTAGTGCCAGGTGCAGCCTGCCCAAACACTGTATAACCGGAGTACAATTTCTGAGGTTCTGATTTGACAATAAAGCAATAAAGCCCAATATTCTTTTTTGCATTGTTTATTGCTGTCTCTCACTGTTTTGACATGGCAAGCGATCAGTCAGCTATCAGCCCGAGATCTCTTTCAGTTCTATCCCATGCATGGAGCACATGTTCTCATATTCTTACTTCCTCTGTGCAGTATCTTGCATTTATCTGTATTGAACTTCACTTGCCAAACCATAAGCCCATACGCTGACCCTATCAAGATCTATTATAAGACCTTTGCTGCCTCCTCTAATTCTACGTTTGTGTCATTGTCTCATGTGCAGATTAAACTAAAAAGAACACAAACATGACCAGGTTTCTACACAAAACATTGAAATAAAACAAATGTTATCAAGCAGCATTACTCTTCACTTAAATATG